CTTCACTAACTCAGAATTTCTACCATGCAGGTCCTCTGCTTATAGATCCTATCAAGATTTATTTGTATAATATTATGTCTCTCTGAGCATCATGTCACACTTCTAATATTCAATTGATATTGGTATAACATGATTTATAGAGTTACAACTCCAGAAATAAACAGTAAAAAAAAAATAATAATTATAAGTAATATTGTAGTTCTAGTTCTAATTAAATAAAAAATTATTATAAATAATAGCTCTAGCTCAATTAAATAAAAGAAATCATCACTAATAATAGCTTTAGCTTTAATTAAATAAAAATTATCATAAGTAATAGTTCTGATTCTAATTAAGTAAAAAATCATTATAAATAATAGTTCTGAATTCAATGAATAAAAAAATAATTATAAATAATAATTTTAGTCAAGAAAAATAGTTGTGAGTAATAGTTTTTGTCTAATTTAATTAAAACATCATTATAAGTAAATAGCTCTAGCCCAAATAAATTAAAATTAAATAAAAATTATCATGAGTAAATAGTTCTAGCTCTAATAATTAAAATTAAATAAAAAAATTATCATGAGTAATAGTTCTAGTATAATAAATTAAAATTAAATAATAAAATTACTATAAGTAATAGTTCTAACCTAATTAAATAAAAAATTATGTTTATGAATAATAGTTCTAGTTTTAACTAAATAAAAAAATTATTATGGATAATAGTTCTAGTCTTAATAAATTAAAATTAAACAAAAACCTTTATAGCTAATAGATCTGGTTCTAATTAAATAATAAATAATAGTTCCAGCCCTCTTCATAACATAGTTCTAATTCTAATTAAATAAAAAACTATAAAAAGTAATAGTTTTAACTTTAATTAAATAAAAAAATAATTGTAAATATCAGCTCTGGCTCAAATTAAATAAAAAAACTTTTATGATCAATAGTTCTGACTCTAATTAAATAAAAATATTACTTTGTATAATAGCTCTAACTCTAATTAAAAACTATTATGAGTAATAGCTTTGGTTTTAATTAAATAAAAAAAAACATTATGAATAAATAGTTCTGACTCAACAAATTAAAATTAAATATAGTTCTGACTTCAATAAATTATGTATAGTTCTGACTTTAATAAATTAAATATAATTCTGGCTCCAATAAATTAAAAAACTTTTATAACTAATAATTCAGGTCCAAATATATTATGATTAAAAAATATTCATGACTAGTAGCTTTAGCCTAAATATATTAGCATTAAAGTATTAAAAAATTTTTGCAGCTAGTCCTAATATATATATATTATATTTGGAACAATCATAATTGGCTGATTTGTAATTGATGATTATCGATAGTAAAAACATAATGATATAAAATTTAAACTCTAATAACATTTTGAACTACTAAAAATATGCAAGTAAATTACTTTTATTAGATTATTCTTAACATTATCTTTAAAGTAATAGAACCCTTTTTTTTATTTCTATAAAATTAATCATGTTTTAGTAATTAGTTTTCACTTTAACTTATATAAAAAATAAAAAAAGAGCTCTATTACTTTAATAAGAATATTAAGAGGAATTTAATAAATATAATTTTGCTTATATCTTTTAAAACCTATATTATGAAATTAATATATGATCTTCACTATGTTTGTAGATCATATGCCATCTCATCTCTAATGTGGCATGCATGCAAGATTGAGTAACATGATCTGAACTCAAAAAATTTTTTCCAATTTATCTTTATTAATTTATAACGAAAGAAAAAAAAACTTTTTTTTTTAAATCGCATCTAGCTTGTTAGCCTTCAAGGAAAAAACTTTATAATTAAAATGAAAAGTTAAATAATTAAGTAAAAAGTCATAGTATTGAAAATAAGCTTAATTATTTGGTTTTCATAACATATAATTTTAAATCAGACCTGGCCAGCTGGCTTTTTTTCTAAGTTTTATATGTAAAAATTTTATAAAATACTATAATATATTTTTTTTACAAAAACCCACTGGTTATCAAAACAAATAAAAAATTTTTTTACAGCTGTTTTCATTATTTTTAGAACATCTGATAAAAAAATGATTTTTTGCCGATTCGATAAGTTTTTGATTCAACAGTGATAAACTTTTGAGTATAATTAGTAATATAATACTATATAACGATATTTTTGCATCCAAAATTAAGTTTACACTTGAACCTATGTCCAGTATGTTGTTCTTCTCAACTAACAGATCTTGACAAAAAATATAAAAAAGGTTTAGAATATAAGACAAACTTTTATAATAAATATACGAGCAGGCGTTAATGAAAAAAGTTCAATATGAACAAGAATTGATTACTGGTTTAAAAACACTATATAACGCAAATTATTATTCTAAACAACCAAGATTATATTATTCTTTGTCGAAACCGTGTTAAGAATTATAATCAACAAAATCAGAATAATATTTTATTTAAAAGTTTTAATATATGATGATTATTACAAAATATAAGTCAAAAAGGAAACTAGCAAGAATTAGATGAGAGCATTGAAACAATGGATTTGACGATTAAAGATCCTTTAGCTTATTCATATATGTTAAATATTATAAAGACGCAGTTAAATGTGAAATACGAGGAAAGACCTGTAAGTATTACATTTAATATAAATTAGTGTCGCCAAGTCATCGGATTTTCAATTATATTTGTATTGGATATTGACTGTGACCGATACAAATATAATTGAAAACCCGATGACAGGTTTTCCGTTGACGACACTCAAATATATTTGATCAACACTTTGCGTCTCTTATTGTAAAGTCCGATACTTACAAGTTTTCCCTGTACAGATTATTGTCATTTAGCAAAGATATACTGTACAGTACATTATTATATAAAATCGGCAAAAAATCATTCGGTCAATTTTTTACCAGATGTCCCAAAAATAATGAAAACAGCTGTAATCAGTTATCCCAGTTAGAATGAAAACTGCTGTAATAACCGAGTGGGGTTTTTGTAAAAAATTTTACATATAAAATTTTTTAAAAAAAGCCGGCTGGCCGGGTCTGATTTAAAATTTCATGTTATGAAAACCAAGTAATTAAGTTTGTATGGCCTTACATGAATTTTCGTTATCGATTTTTAAGTGAAGCCAAAGTCACTATAACGATAACTTTTTTCGAAAATTAAAGCTAAAACCATCTATATTGGATTGGATCAAGAACCTATTCGAATAAATACCCAATTTCTTTACAAATAGATCCATTACTCGTAGTCAAATATTATTATTTTTTTTAAGATTCTCTTTTTCCATATAAAGTTTTTTTTTTTTTTGTTTAATAATAAGGAATAGTCATGGCCAGACTGGTAGGATCAACGTTTAACATTATAATAAACCCAAAATTTTTACTATATAATATATTTACGTTCGCTCGTACTTTAAATTTTACAGCTGAACAAGCCACAGCAACTCACGTGCCGAGCCTTTTAAATCTAATTTACTTAATCTTGCGTAAAGTCTAATTTACTGAAATTTTACGTAACGGTAATGCAAGATTGTAATTTTCGTAACACAATCCTAATAACAATGCACAAGTTTATGATATAAATTTTTATACATGTGACTACCCTGATTGGTTAATTATCGCTCTGATATAACCTTAATTTCAAGGTATAAATACATCCGTGATTCTATAAATTTTAACTTTTTCTGATTAAAACTTCCAATCCGCAGCAATCTCGTCCTATGTATAAGTATATTTGTATATATTAATTATATTATTATGTCCCAATCAACTTTGTATAAACCCTCCGACATTATCAATGTATCTCAAAGTCTTACTACTCCATCATTATCAAGCACTTCATCACCGTATCTTCCTACTGAATGTTTACAATGTATCTTTTCTTTCATATCTGATGATGATATAGAAACTTTTCATTCTATTATATTGGTTAATCGTTCATGGTGTAGATCCGCTATTCCATTCTTATGGAAAAAACCTTTTACCATTAATTCTGAATTACCATCCTCTTCATTTTCAAAAATAATTCCAATTTATTTAAGATCTATAAATGTTGATACTTTATCTAATGAATTCAGAGAATCTTTTTTTCATTTAGATAATAATTTATTTTCATGTATTGGTAATGAAAAGAGTTTAACTTTTGATTATCCTACTTTTCTCAAAGAACTTAATTTTAAGAAATTATATAATTCAATTTCTGAATGGACAATTATTAATAATGCTTTCGGTCCTAAATCAAATATTGATATCGAATTCGAAAGATTATCTTTTATTGATAATGTTCAAGATACTATTCAAGTAAGGATAGATCAAGAATATATTGATGAATGGGGTGATCAATCCCTTGTTCATGATTCATATAATCGTACGGAATTTGATGTGTCAAGTGACAACATCGACTTTTCTCCCCCAGAATCTCATGTTGACTATGAAGAAGGTTGGGAAGAAGATTTTGATCAATATTATGATGATTACGATCATTTCGATGTTTCTACCGAACCAGATCATAGTGATAATGGACGGGAATGGTTGGACACGCCTACACCTTTTGATATGACCGAAGAAGGTCGAAGATTGCTTATTGCTAGAGAGATTGGTATTATGTTGATGAGTAAATGTCGGTCATTTAATAAACTTATTCTAGATACGCGAGGTTTTTCTCGAAATTTGTCGTGTCAATCTGTCAATTACATATCTTTGCCATGCTTTCCTGGTGCTAGTGAATGCTTGTCGCGTATTACGGAATTTGTTTGTGGTGGTGAATTCTATAAAGGAGATATTTTTAATGAAATGGCAATGTATTGTAAAGATCTTTATTCTATTGAGATCGTTGATACTTATCGTTCTGCAATTGAATCCTTGGCAAATCTCATCTCTGTTCAAAAAAGATTACAAAAATTCAGTTGGACCGGTGGATATGAAGATTTATCACCTATTACTTTGTCATTTTCCAGTCAAAAAGAAAATCTTATCGAAGTTCAATTAGAAAATGCTTTTTTTCGAGATTCAGATGCTCTTGAAGGGCTAGCTCCTTGTCAAAATTTAGAAACTCTTAAAATTGCAGAGTGTCAACTTACCGCTGCTAATTTAAGACCGTTAGTATATGTTACCTTTCCACGACTCCAAGTTTTAGAGATTACAGACATTCGTGATATTTATTATCTCGATCTTGATGAAGATAATACTCCTCCTTCTGAAGAATTAAATGAAATAATTAGAAGAGCAAATGGAACACTTAGAGAAATTAGATTAAATTTAGAATTGCACTTTTATCCTAGTATCATCGATACCATCGCTGCATATTGTCCAAATCTTAAATTGCTCGCAGCAAGCATAAAAGATGATGAACAAGTTCCTGAACTTCTTAATTTGTTAAGTTCATGCAGACAACTTGAGAGCTTAATTATTCATGGCTATAACAGTAATTTTTATACTGCTGATTATATTTTGCCCCAAATTGGATCAATTATGCCAGAAACTCTACGATATTTGGATCTTAGTAAGTGGACATTCAAAGCTCCAGCTTTAAAGATGTTCTTATCGAATTGCAATGCAGAATTAAGATATATTACATGGCATTGTTTTGTCAGTAATAGCAGTGAAGATTATACAGCAGCACTCAAGAACTATGCACAAGAAAAAGATCTTGAAATTAATGTGCAAGTGGAATTTCGCGATTCCGGATTTGGATGGTGTCAATGTGTTTGCAATATCACAGCGGAACTTGTGGAACGTCCTAGTCAAATTGAAGAACTGTGATGTATAAACTTTATTAAGTTTTTTGTGTTTTAAACTCAATAAATTCGGCACATCTTTTTGTACATAAATCTAATTTATAAACAAATAATTTGATATTAACATTTTAAAAAAAAATCATTATATATGTATTTTCAAACAACCGCTTTGGTTATTTATTGTAATAATTAGAGCTTTGCAATAGACGCTTATAAAGTTACGTGGACTGACAATTTTTCATTTTTATTATTTAAATTGGATCAGTTAGAATCTCTTATTAATTTATTAGACAAACTAATGTGTACAGTATCCAAATCATTACACAAAAAAACATAATACAAAAATTTTATCACTTTTACCCATATTACGGGTTAAGTAATAAGAAAATAATTATATTATGATTAATATGTACGTATGTATAGTGATTAATATTATGCATATCAGCGGATTTAAGGAATTGGGCTTTTTTTAAGCCCTCTAATTCAAAACAAATAACTTTTGCCCACGATCCACATTTAAATAGAAATTAAAAAGTTTTAAAAAGTAGTTCGGTATAAAAATTGCAAATTTTATAATAAACAAAGTCAGAAATTCATGTTTTTTCTATAGTACGGGAATGGGACTTGCTTACATATAAGTATTTTTTTATTAAGTAAACCTTTTTTTTTTTCGCTTATAATAAAAGTTGTAGAGCTAATTTTTCTGATTCTAATAATAGTAAAATCGGTTAGATAGATCATGAGATATAAGTATTTTTCGATCGTTTACTATCGCTGCGTATAGGTTTTTTTTCTTAAGAAACGGAGCACATGCCATTCCACTTACTGTATATGGTAACTAGTAAGTGCCCGCCAATTTTTACTATGAAATTCAGGTTGATCGGCAAAATTAAGAAAAAAATTCAAAATTTCGCTTATGAAACTGTTCTTGGTGCTTTAAGAAAAAAAAATTCTACACATAATTTTGGTATAAATCCTCTTTTAAACTTCTTCTAATATAACTCTAACATCAAAACTTATTTAATATAGGCTGATATTAATTAATTAATATAACTTGTTACACATTCCGTTCTTGCAAAATTTATACTATTTAAACTGCGAACTACTATTTTTTGCTTTATTGATAATGCAGGATCTATTTTTTTAGCCTAATTAAATAATTTTTAGTGTTTAATAATTTGTTTTCTAATTGTTGTTGATTTTTGTAGTTTTTATCTTTTTTTTTTTTCTATTTTTACAAGATATTTAATACAAATAAAAATAATAATAAGCATTTTTATTAAGATTATTTTAATATATGTTATTTTTTTATTTTAAATAAATGTAAATATTATCTTTTAATTTATAAACTATTTTCAAACAAATTTGCTTAAAAAATTCATGTAATAATATCTATGATCTATATTTTTTATAAAAATAAAATATTTAAACAAAAAATTTTTTAATAATATTTGAAAATAAAGATTATGTAATTGTAATACTTATTTTTATTTTATAAAAAAAAAATATAAGTTGTTTATACTGTATACTTAAGTCATATAATTTTAAAAATTTTTTTATTAAAAAAATTTTATTACTTATTTTTAGCAAACTTATTAATTATTAGCTATTTGCTTTTTTTAAAATTAGAATCATTATAAAGTTCTAAAAATAAACAATTTCTAAAAATAAGCAATATTTTTATTTTAAAAGATAATAATTTAAAAAATAAAATAAGTAACTCTTTTTTTAATATTACTAGTATATACTCCAATTATTATAGATTTTATTATAAAATTTATTATATTAATTTTCTAATTCTAATTCATTAACAAATAAATTATTTTTATTAATTATTTTAATTGAATCTTTATTATTATCTATTTTATTATTTTTTTTTATCTAAACTATATATTAAATTATCTTCAGTTTTATCTAATTTATTTATTTATTTTTTTTTTATACTTAGGTGATCTTGTTCATCATTTATTAAGAGTAAACATATAAAATATTACAACAAGAATATAAGCTAAAGCTAATTTAACTATAAAACTATCTTCTTTATAAAATTTAGAACTTATTTAGCTATCTAAAGTACTCAAATATGATCTGCTACAATAGTAAATTTTCTTTCCTAAAAAATAGATTGTCTAAGCAGGATCATATTCTAAGGATTTACAAAAGGTTACTATATATCTATATCAAAAATACCTAGTTAATTATTTTTAAAACTTAGCTAATTTTCTTTTGTACCTTCTGTAATCTACTTATTAATTCTATTTTTAGCTTCTTTCTGAATTCTTTTTTCTTTAACTTTAGTTGATTCATTAGATTCTTTTTCTAAGAGGTTTTGGTTTTCCTTTTCTGCTCAATACTTCTCTTGTTCAACTTAGTCTTTATACTTTCATTTCTTTCTTTTTTTCTTAGAGTCTATATTGTTTCATTTTTTCTAATTTGTTATAGCTTCAAAAAACTTCAAACAGAAAATTTCTGTAAATTAGCAAATAGTTTTGTTTGTTTTTGATACTAAACTTAGAAGAGCTTTAGCTTCTGCTAACAAGCTTTAACTTGTTAGCCTTTATATATAGAGTTTTTTTTTTTTGAGCTTGATTTCTGTATTTAGGTTTAGGAAAATTTTACTTAGTTTCTAGTTTTCAACTTTAACTTCCCATTTAGAAATAAATAAAGAGTTCAACTTTTCAATAATAATAGCTTCTATTTTCTTCTATATTTGTTGATAAATTATACATTCTACTAGATATTCAAAAGATTCTATTTTTATATAGTATGCAATACAAGTCTTGCTTTTATATAGCAGAGAGTCTCTTTAATAGCAAATATCTTTTGTTAGCAGAAGCTTATTTAGATATTTTAGTCTAAATATTAGTATTTTACTCTTTTTTATACTTACATATTTTTTCTTTTGCAAGTTTTTCAAAATACTCTATATATTTTTCTAATTTAGCTTATTATTGCATTGATCTAATAGTTTCTAGTTTAATACTAATTTGATACTATTTAAGTCTACTCATACGCATTCATAAACTGTTACTGTAGTTATATATATATATTTTTTTTTTTAAAGCAAGGTCTATCTTCTATCTCTTTATTATTATAATAAATTTGGCATATAAGTAAATATATAATACAGAAATCAATACTAAAGGGAGATAAAGGTAAGAGCTAATTTACTCTCAACCTAAGCTATTGCTAGAAAAGTTGTAAACCTCTAGTCTTTAATAATATATAAAAGAGACAATTGTCTTGATTTGATTAGTTTTTATTTTTTTTATTTTTTTTATTGTTAAGGCAGCTTATATTGCTAAAGGAATTTTATTAGAGTTGTCAACAGGATTATACATTAATAATTCTTACTATTTGTAATTACATGAAGAGTATACAACAAGCCATATGTACAACTTTAGTCATTATCTATTTTAAGTAGTCTGCTATATAGGTGTTAGGCTACTTGATTAATTCTATATTATACTGCTATATCTGTAACCCACCTGTGAGTTACCTATTTAAACACTTTGTTCATTAACCTATACAGATCTAATCTAATGTTACTACAACATTTAACTACTTAAGTCAGCTAGCTTGTTATAAATTCATTTATTTAAAACAGCTTAGGTCTTCTTGAGATATATTATACTAGATGCATTGCTAGTATCGCAAAGCCAGTTAACCTCAAAGCAAACCTACTAGAGCAGTTCATATCTATTTTACAAATTCACCTAGTTTAGACCCTTGTAAATATTTATACAACTCCAGATTCTACTGTAGTCCTCCACTAGTCAGTTGACCTAGTCTTTTTCTAGTATCTAGCTAGTCCTAGTTACCCTTCATCTAGAGACCTCGAAACCTTCTACCTTTATTAAACTAAGTTTTCTTCTCAAATCAGACTTTAGCTGATATAGTTCTGTTAGAAAGCTATATTACTTTACTGATTTAGGATTTCTACTATGTAGGTCCCCTACTCATATATCCTATTAAGATTTATTCATATAATATTATACTATACTTCCAAGTTCTGATCGATTTGGTACAACTCAATTTACAGTAATATACCCTTAGAATAAATAGGTTTACCTTATATATCACAAGGTCTGAAAAATTATTTAAATTTATCGACAGTAGGATTTAAACTCCAGATCTATTACATAGCAGTCTGACAACCTAACTTTTATACTAGGTTACTAGATCTTATTTGATTAGTTTTTGTAATTTTGTTATGATTGTAATATGACTAACATTTTTTGTTTTTGTTAAGGAATTAAGTTTAAAGGAGTGATGTAGGAAAAGCTAGTTCATGTAATATTTTTTGAGATAGAATCTAAAACTTTTTGTATATTGATTTGATAATAAAATGATGTAGAGATGCTGTGTATATCTTTTTGTATTTTTGTTCTACTGGAGCAGTTGTTCTACTTGTGATAATTCTTATTAGTATTTTTAGTATACAGTGCAGATATTTGTATGTACTTATGAAGATATGTATATCTTATAAGTCTATATTATTTTTTCTAGCATATTCATAAAGTATATTCTTTAGGAATGTTTCAAGTCTTATATAGTTTTGCATGCATATAAGTATATGAGCAAAGTCTTCTTGGTCTATTCAACAACAAGAACAAAGATAGTTTTTATATTCCTTTAGATTTCTAATATAGAGATTTAGATGTACAAGGAGTTTTTCTGCTATAAGTTTTATCTTGAAGTATTTTACAGTAGAAAGTATTGGATTAGTGTAGAGTGCAAGAGGTTTATTACCAAATAATATATAGTTTAATGTATCTGTTCATAATATATCTGGAATAGTTGCAATTAGATATAATATATGTTGTTGATTTATTTAAGACAAGTAATTTGTGATTATTGTAGTATGTTTTAAAGTTGTTTTAAGTAAATATAGACTATGTGTTGATAAGAAAAGAGAAACAAATCAATTATATAAGAAGTTTTGTGAAGTAATATTTAAAAGGAACTGATAATCTGACTTGTTATCTATTATTAAGTCTCTGTTTAATTGTATTTCTATTGTCA